GCATATTAAGTTTACAGTAAAATAAAATAGAAATTCTGAATAAGCGGGAAAGGAAATATCTATATTAAAATCACAGACATGTGCTAAAAGAAATACTGTTTTTCATTGAACTGGTGACGTTCTCTAATACAGAATTGCTTAAGGGCAGGACAATGAATGGATTATTCCCTAATCTTTACACCAAACCTAACATCACTTCCTGATGATTTATCAGTCCCAACAAAATAAACGTACCAATCTGTCGGCATCCCGATCTGCTCCGCGTAAAAGAAGGACCTTCACTACTTCACTGTGACCCATCTGAGCTGCCATCCACAGGGGAGCAGTGCCATCCTGGGAGGGAGAGGGACGGATGGTGAAGAGTTTGCATGAGAACATATATCTCCTTCATTTTTTATTCCATTACAAAGTCATTCTAACGTCCTCAGGGTTTTATTTGCCTGCATTTCAACCATCATGTTTGCTGATATCTCCTCTTCAGCATCGAAGGGAAAACTCCATCTACTGTTTCAGTGGTGGATGAAGCACCATCACAATAACGTCCCCGTTTCCTGAATACTGGATGGCGTTAAGTTCATTTTAAGCATTTGCAACTAATGCGATGGTAATGTAAAGTAAATAATATAGTTTGATGCATTTTATTTTAGCTGTTCTACAAAGACAATTAGAGGTAAATGTGTCAGATTTTAGCATGAGGTTCATGTCCAACTGTTATCCCTACTTTAAGCTTTTATAATCACTAAAAATGACTTAACAAACAAAATACTGTTTATTATTTCTGCACATAGCACATTATAAAGTGTAAAATGTTTATTAATACTGCGAGTCCAGTAAGTTATAAAGTGCTGACCAGAAAGCAGCAACAAGAACTTCTCCCCCACCGCTTCTCCCCCTCCATCATGGTTCAAAATGGCTTCCACAACATCTGCATCACCCATCTTGTTGAGTCATGACAAGGTTTTTTTTTATAGCTAATTTCATAATTAGTATTTCATTAGTCTGTGTAGGATCTAGCTTTCTAGGCCTGACGTTTGGTAGTCACATTCTAGTTTAATGGCATCTCTACAGTCACTAGTTTGTCCGCTCTGTGCTGCAGTAGCGCAAAGATAGTAATCTCTGAGGCAAAACAAACATAAAATTTGAGACTTTCATTTTACATACGATACTAAATAACATATCTATGTATCATATATTTCTATCAGTAAATCCCTGCACTGCAAAAACAATCTAGAAAAAAGTAAACATTTCTTAAATTAAGTGTATTTCGCCTTAATTTGAGCAGATAAATAAGATGATTTGCCAATGGAATGAATATTTTTACTCTTAAAATAAGATAATTACATAATATATCTCTAAATAATATAATATATATATATATATAATATAACTCTAAATAAGACAATGCAATTTTTTCAGTTGTCAGTTGTCTTTCCTCCTCAGTTAGAGAAAAAAATGCACTTATTTTAAGAAAAAATGACTTATTTAGATTTAATCATTACCTACTAGCTTTAAGAAAAAGAGCGAGCAGGTTAGACGTGCAGGCATGCAAAGTGCTTTGTGTTCCAGTGGGCTCTACCTCCCTGGCTTGATTGACCTTGGCACCAGAGGCCAGCAGCTGACGAATCACGGTCACATGACCCCCCTGGGCAGCGAGAAAAAGAGGAGTCGCTCCATCCTGAATACAAGAAGGTTGGAGGTAAAACTCAGAATAAATACACTAATAATGACCTTATCATATACATATGTTTACAGTAAGGTTGTGGTTTCAGGCATCTCCTAATCCTGCTTCAGGTGATTCATGCTTAACTCAGCTGTTTGGAGAAACCAGAGCGACTGGATTCCTGCTGAGATCAACTTGCCATCAGGCTTGTCACGGAAAAGGTCATTTAATGCAGGAGCATGAAGCGTGACTGACTAACAGACAGAGAGATGTAGATGTGGAGCTCACATTTAACCGGTCATGAACATTAGCTCCATTCTTCAGCAGGATCTCCACCACCGCGGAGCGACCGCACTGTGAGGCCACGGTGAGCGCCGTGCCTCCATCCTGTTTGCAAAACATGGAAGACAAGAGATTTAGAATCTCTAAATGTATCGCTGGTAACTGAGTTATTGGCTGGTGATCTGTCAGATGAGCATACCCAATCAGACCAGCATACACATGCTCAAGACGTCAGATTGACATTTATCCTTTCAGTTTTGAATGAAAAATAGATTTTAAACTACCTCAACAGGCGTGTTTCCCTAAAATCGTCATAGGCTTCAAAAAACACTAAAAGATAGTAATTCATTTTTTTGTGTGTGTATTTTTCATACAAAACTAAAGGGATAATTGGGTATTGACTGTGGGTATGCTCCTCTGACAGAACAGCTGCATGCTTTACACTGTATAAACTGTAGGAGCCATAACACATCACTGCAGCGCACCTTAGTGCGTAACTCAGTGGAAGCACCGAATTCAAAGAGCAGCTTCACGACGTCATGATGTCCCTGCTGTGAGGCGAAGAACAAAGCCGTAGAACCTGTCTGAGGATAAAAATAGATGCAGCTCAATGACTTTTACCCACAATTCAAGTCTGAGATGTTTTCAAATGCTGGCTAGCTCAAGTGGTAAATCACCTGCCTGCAAACGGGAAGCCTGGATCTGCATCCCAGCTGGAGAGGAATGAGCTGCCAGTGCGGCTCCTCAGGAGTTTGCTAATTAAATATTTTGTTTGTTAAAATAAATATGTAGCTCCAAATTTAATATGTATTTAACAAACTAAATATTTAGCTTGGAGCTAAATATTTATTTAACAAAGTACGAT